TTTTAAATTACTTTCGTTCTTTTTATGACGCATGGGAAAGTCGATCAGGAGAACAGAGCATTTCATGAACGTATTGAATCGCAAGCGATCACGCAACGATAACTTACATAACGGAAATGGAACGTTTCAACATCGCGTGATCGTCTGCGAGGAAAAGTTGACGTTGTAAGTTGATTATAGATCAAGTCCGGACAAATCAGTCGTCTGATGATGCTAAGCGAAAAACGCATCTAAATCGTCACCATAGTCTGGTTTGAATCGGAATAACCATCACAAGGTAAACTATAGAATCATTGCTGATAACTTGTCATAAAACTATTGAAATACCATCAGTTTTTTATTTCATTGGAATCACCTGCTTTATGTCCGAGATAGCCTCCGGGTATATCGCAAATCGGCCATTCAGCTTGCATATTATGCTTTCAAGTAGTACACATTAACTTTCATTCACATTCATCGTTCTTGATACATTCTCATACCGTTCAACCAGATAGGACAGTATAGATCTCATACAGCATGCCGATAAGCTATGTGCCAAAGGGTGAATATTTTTTATTATCCATTATTGCCTATGATATTCAAAAAAGTACCAAAAATATTTCACTCAGTTTGCATTAAATACGCCGTTGCAAATTCATGTTTTACCTATAGCCGTTATAAGCAATTCGATCATTCGATAACTGATCAACTCTGACTGTTTTTCCTTAGTATTAACTGGACTGGTTGTAATAAAAACTGATGAATCATTAAAAATTTTAATTCATGATTGGATTTTGTAATGTAAAATAGTCTTGTCCGACATGTTTATTAAACGTAATCACGACCCCTAGGCAGCATCCTTAAACTGGGAACACACTTACCAGATGCAACACTATGCGGACACTACCCGATGCTACCTGACGCAAATCCGAAGTCCAATTTTCCATAAGAATTTATTACCCCCGTGCACATCTGCCCGATACTATGCGACGCTACCCTACTCTACGCTATGCGATCCCCACTGTCCAGATTTTTGTCGGGTCGCATTAAGTACAGTCGAAGAGAAAAGAACCGGACACTCATATTTTTATACAAATTACATGTATTATTGTCATTATATTAATTACAACATACTTATTTTAATGTAAACCAAATTAACCTTGATCAAAAATTCATTAGTTGTTATTTTAAAAAAATTAATTTTAATGGTAAGGTAAAAAATTGACACCAAAACCATTTTTTGATATAATGAATTTCACTAATAATTTATTACACGGTTTTGGTAATAAAAGTTAACGAACAATTTATTTCATGGTTTTGCTCATAAAATTACACCATTTTCGTCGAGTAGCGACAGAAAAGGATATTCATATTTTTGTAGTTTATTTCAAACTAAGCATACGTAATTTTGTCGTTATGTTAATTACAGCATTCCTATTTTAATGTAAACCAAATTAAATGAGATCAAAAATTCGTGTTTTTATCAAAATTATTTAATTATGATGGAAATTATTTTTAAGTAGGAAGAAAATTTATCAAAACACCGGAATAACTTTATTCAAAACAAGAAAGTTTAACAAACAATTTATTACACGGTTATGCTAATAAAATTTAACAAACAATTTATTTCATGATTTTGCTCATAAAATTTCACCATTTTCGTCGAGTAGCGGCAGAACAGGATATTCATATTTTTTGTAGTTTATTTGAAACTAAGTATATGTAATTTTCTCGTTATGATAATTACAACATTCCTATTTTAATGTAAACTAAATTAAACGAGATCAAAAATTCATAAGTGTTGATAAATATTATTTAACCATGATGGAAATTATTTTTAAGAAGGAAGAAAATTTATCAAAACACCGGAATAACTTTATTCAAAACAAGAAAGTTTAACAAACAATTTATTACATGGTTGTGCTCATAAAATTTAACAAACAATTTTTTACACGGTTTTGCTAATAAAAGTTAACTAACAATTTATTTCATGGATCTGCTCATAAAATTACACCATTTTCGTCGAGTAGCAACAGAAAAGGATACTCATATTTTTTGTAGTTTAGTGTGTTCCCCGCTTTAGTCCCCTACCTATCATATGTAGCATCAAAATCCAAACATAACTGCCCCAAATATCCAAACGCATATACATTAAAAATAAAAATGAACAAAAAATAAAGGATAAATATTAATGAGGGTAAATGAATTCACACACCTTTATCTCCACCGTGTGGCATGACTACCACCCTACATTAAAACCGCAGACATAGATCAATATCTAGACATGCTTCTAAATAAAATACTGACTGGAGCTGTCACACTAGTCGTGGTAGGAACTTAATATGCGGAAATAAAAGGCGAGCAGGTTCCGAGGATATCGGCTATTTTCGTTTAAAGCGACATGGAGGGTTTCTGCTTGTGAAAGTGTTAGTTAAGGCTTAAGCAGTAAAGTTAGACAGGAGTAGGGATCTTTATATATGAACCAGTTCGTTCTATTTGAGAACTTTTGACTGGAAATAATGAATACGCTGGATATTGGATGGCTTGACGGAACCTCACGTTCCGATCCATATGTCAAACGTGGTTGGAGGAAAGCTTTTTATAAAGTAATTTTTATGATCATAACGTATAGAATTGTTGCCGTCCTCCCTTGTTATGTTACTGCCTAAAAAGTCTTGCGAAGGGATTCCACATCAGCCTACCGTCTCACTCTGTAGTAGGCAGGTATATGATAAGGTATAGTCTTAAGTAAGTGGAAGTCGTTAGCTTCTTGTTATTTGCTGTACATGAAGGGCAAGGCTTGTTCTCACCATTACTTGATAAGCTTCAGATGCTTTTGGATGTTAGAAATTGCTTTGGCAAGCTTAGTGTTAGAAAACAAAATCGTGTAGTTAGTAATGATGGTACTGGGATTTGCAGTATAAATTTGTATATTTTTCCTCTTACTAGTACCCCTAAAAAAAGGGAATTTATTTACTATATGCTCCATATGACATATTACATGGGTTTTACAATCGTATTATTTATGTTCACTTTAAATATAATTAATCTTTTTATGTAAGGTTTTTGATTGAAATTTAAAAGCTAGTGCCACAGCGGGATTCGAACCTACGACCTTCGGCTAAATACGCCACTGCTCTACCACTAGAGATAATAGATGGCTTGAATTAACACTATTATATCTTGAATATTTTAAATTAAATCAAAGTTGAGGTTTTTAATAAATGATAATATTCTATTTATAATGTAATAATAAATTCTAAAAATGTTGGTGGCCATTGTACTCCTTGTAATACTATCGCTTGTATCAAATCGGATCTTTCCTTGTCTAACTTGGTACAGTTCAAGATAATGTGTTCCCAATTTTGGGTTTTGCCCCATGCCCATCCGCAAGAGTCATCCTCGATGATCTTGTACCGTTTTAGGTATGCTTTATTTTTTCCCTGACCAGAGAAAATCTGTGTGGTTCAGAGAGTTTGATCTCTATTCTTAAACGTCGTGATACCGTTGTATAAAATTTTTTCGTGCGACTTCTATTGTCAATGTTCCGCTGCATTTCATCCCTTTCTAATTGAAGTTCCTCTTTGGCTGTTCTTAGTATATGCGATATCGGTTCTAGGTTGAAAGCTTCTGTTAGATTCTCGCTTATCGCTGCTTATTTTGCCTTTCGGTTCACTTCTTCATTCCCCTGTATGCCGATGAGCGCTTTAATCCAGTTTATTGAGAGCTTCCAACCTTTTCTTTCCAAATTCATTCAACTGTCCTTGTCATGCATTTTCGGGACTTCAGTAGGTCAATAGAGGTCTGGCTGTCTGTGCTGATACTGACCTTCCGCACCGTTAGCTCTTCCTTGAATCCATTTAAAAGCCTCTTCTATCGCCATCAGCTCGAACTGGTATTCAGAGCAGTGCTAAGAAAGCATGTAGTAGCCGACAAGGTGTGGAACGTTTTCCCCGTGACAAAAGCGCGTCCTACTTTTCCATCTATTTTGCATCCATCAGTAAATGTGAATAGTATATTCGTCACTGTTTTTGCTTTCGATTTCTCTGTAAAAGGGCGGGTGAAGCGATTTCCTGAAGTCTATTCTGAGGTCCATGTTTATTTCATCATCGTTGTACCTAAGTGTCATTTTGTATAATTGAGATATTTCTTTGATTTTCAGATCTACGAGCATTTCTCTAGCCGACGCACGCACGGCGTCAAACGAAATCGTCCTGAATCCGTGAATTACTCTTAGACTTCTTCTTCTGGAGAGCTGCTTGCCATACTGGCACCCCGTACTTTAGCATTGGGAGTACAGCCCCTTTATAAATGGTAGCTAGATTCTTGCTTGGCAATCCCCAGTAAATTCGAGCAGATTTTAACAGCATGTGTCTTCTTTCATGTATAATCAATGTGCGCTTTCCAAGATAATCTTTCATCAAAGACTAGACCTAAATAGTTAAGTTGTATATTGGTGGTACGGACTCTTTGCACACAAGAAGAATGATTGTGGATAAGATATCATACGTGCTACCATAATGGGTCGTAAGGGTTTAGGCCTAGAAAGCCTGAATGGCAGATAAAATGGACAAAAATTATGTTAATTTTTGTTATGTTGTTGTTTTATTTCATAGTTAACTTTTGAGATTTCTTCTTGAGGTCTGCCGGATGAAGATGCTGTAAAACCATTCATTCCTAGCACATCTTATGCCTTCTTTAGCATATTTGATTCCGGAATGTAAAAGTTCGTACCGAAATGCGTTTGATCATGCGTCACTATATCGTCATCAAGAGTATCTCGCTGAAAGCAGCGAAGAAGACGAAAAACGACCCGTTCCGCGTTATTGTCCAAAAATGGAAAGTAACCTCTTATCGAGCCGGGGCTTTCACGCGAAGGGAGGCCGAGGGTGGAAAATGGAGACGTGTGAAACATTGATAGCAACATAGGAGCAACATATTCATAGTCAGGTGGAGCACCGGGGGGGCCCCCGGGCTTGCGCCCTTGCTCGGCTCGGCGGCGCCCTCAGCTCGACCCCTGCTCACCGACGCCACTCAGAGAGGGAGAGCTAAGCAGAAATGAACCCGACTCAGAGTGCAGTCGTCCTGGCGGCAACACTTAGTGTTGTCTGCTTAGCCTGGCCGCACACGGTTATGGCTATAGACCTCTCCAGGCTCTACGGCCACGTATCGACCAAACGGAACAGTAAGTTGCCAAAAGTTCCACCAACATTTTTTTGCACTTTTTTTCAGTTAGTTATATAATTTTGCCTAATTTGGTACCTACTTTGGTTACGAGGCTGAATTTAAACGTAATTTTTACAAAAATTATCAATACTTATTTTAAAAAAACGAAGGGTGCAAAAATTCACCTAAACTTTAAATTGCGATCACTTCTCTTGCTGTTTTTGAGAATTCTAAATATTGCTAAGAAATTTAATTCGATATTTATCTATTCATCTTGTTTGAATTGGACAGGCATAATTGCTACCACACTACATCTTACTGAAAGGTTTTTAAAAAAATTTAATGGCTCTCAATAATCAAACGCCTCAAAAAATTAAATAGCACAGACGAACAACGCAAAAAAACTTTTTTTCTTTTATCTCACTTTTACAAAATCTACAAAAAGAACGAACAGACAAAATCCAAAACACCACCGAAGAGAACCGGCTAGGAAGACTAGATGGAAGATTCCGCCTTTCGCTCTTAAAATAAACCAAATTAATAAAACTAATAAATTTTGATTAATTCATTATTAAAACTGTTTAAACTTTCTTTGTTAAAGTCTAATTATGTAAACAGCGTTCCTCTATCTTCTTAAAAAAGTGGCCGCTGTAATAACGCTCCCTTCTCTACCCGGCAAACATGCCGAACTTTTGCAATTCTTAGATTTCTATTACTTTTTACCATAAAACTTTGTCGTAAAATTCACTAGTTACAATATCGTTATAATTAATTAATAGGAGTAAAGCTAAAAAGAAAAGGTTGTCAAAACGATTGCTGTGATCTTTATTGTTGACTTTTGGATTTCTTTTATTTTTTACTCTATAAATTTTTCGTAAAATTCACTAGTTACAATACTGTATATAATTAATTATTAATAAAGTAATTATATAATTAATAGCAATATGGCCAAAAAATTGCCGTGAGCTGTATTGTTTAATTTTTGGATTTTTATTACTTTTTACTTCAAAACTTTTTCGTAAAATTCACTAGATACAGTACTGTATATAATTAATTGATAGAAATATGGCTAAAAAAAGAAAAAAAATTGCCGCGATCTTTATTGTGGTAATTTTTGCATTTTTATTACTTTTTATCCTAAATTTTTTTGTAAAATTATTAGTTACAGTATTGTATGTAATTATTAATTGAAATAAGGGTGAAAAGAAAAGATTGACGCGAACTTTATTCTTGTAATTTTGGAACTTTTATTATTTTTTACTTATTCAGAAATCGTGAGATGCGGTCTGGTGTGATGTAGGTTTCAGAAATTTTTTTTTCTGAAACGTACATCACACCAGACCGCATCTCACGATTTCTGAATAATTATCGATTAACGGTCACTAATCACCACACATTATTTTTTACCCTAAAACCTTTTCATAAAATTCACTAGTTACAGTACTGTATATAATTAATTAATAGAAATAAGGCTAAAAAAAGAAAAGATTGCCGTGATCTTTATTGTGGTAATTTTTTCATCTTTTTTTACATTTTACCCTAACATTTTCTTTGTAAAATTACTAGTTACAGTATTGTATGTAATTAATTAATAGAAATAAGACTAAAAAGAAAAGATTGTCGTAACTTTGGGATTTCTGTTGCTTTTCCGCCAAACATTTTTGTAAAATTCACTATTTACAGTATTGTACCTAAATAATTAATAGAAATATGGCCAAAAAGAAAAGATAGCCGGAAAGATTACCGCGATGTTTATTGTTACAATTTTTGAATTTCTCTTCTTACTTTTTACTCAAAACGTTGTCGCAAATTTCATTCGTTACAATATCGTATATAAAATCGAAAAAAGCCTAATATGATACCTAAAATTTGCCGAAATCTAGATTGTTGCGATTCTTTTATTTTTATTTATTTCGTCGTTTTTACATATTTAAAAAACGGAGGGTTCAAAAATTCACCTAAACTTTAAATTGCTTAAATCTCACTTTTACAGAATTTACAAAAAAGAAATCCAATTAGACAAAATCCAAAACAACACCGAAGAGAACCGAAATTGTTCTAATTCTTGGATTTATATTACTTTTCAACTTAAAACCCTCCGATAAAGATTCCGTAATAATAAATCGTACTTAAATGTTTAATTCAAATAACCTAAAAAAGGTACCTAAAATTGATAAGATCTAGATAGTTGCAATTCTCGTATTTCTATGTATTTTTGCCTTTTTACATTTTTTTTTTTGCTTTTTCACATATTTTACAAAAATTCACCTAAACTTTAAAATGCGATTTTGTTGTTTTTGAGAATTCTAAAAATTGCTAAGAAATTAGACGTTTATCTATGCATCTCGTCTGAATTGGAAAAGCGTAATAGATACCGCACTACATCTTTCTAAATAAAGTTAAAAAAAATTTTTAATGGCTATCAATAATCAAACTTTCCAAAACATTAAATAGCACAGACGAAGTGTCGGTTCGGACAGAAAGACCAGATAGAATATCCCGCTTTTCGGTCTTAAAACAAACGGCTAATAAATTTTGATTCATTCATTATTAAAATCGGTTAAAACTTCTTTTGTTAAAGTCTAATAATGTTAACAGCATTCCTCTATCTTCTTAAAACAATGGCCGCTGTAATAAAGCCGCTGTAAGCCCTTCTCTACCCGGCAAACATGCCGAACTTTTGCAATTCTTCGATTTTGATTACTTTTTACCCTAAACCCTGAAACCCTCATATATACATAAATTTACTAATTATGTTATCTTATAAAATATTTAATTGATATACGATGAAAATGAAAAGAAATATTGAGTTTTACCTAACCTTGACTCTATAAATTATTAGATTTATTTTACTACTTTCTATAACTTTTTACATTAGTATAAATTTAGTACATATATATGATCACATATAATTATCTGACGCGACTAAACAGCAGAGATAGATCATTTTTTAACTTAAATTACTAATAAATTGAATAATTATGGCATTATCTATACATAATTAATTGATATACTGTTAAATGAAATTAATATAGCTGGAGTTTTGGCTTAGCTTCTTGGCTATTTATTATTTTTGCATTTACAATCCATCTAACATAAAAAATTATAAATAATTAATTGAAATCAAACTAAAACCTAACAATAAATAAAACTTCGCCACGATGTACAACACATATTCTCCTATGAAATTTAATAGTTTAATAAAAGGTATTATGTTTATGTGATTAAGATATATCAACGGGAATATTACTACCATTCTGTTTAGTATTAATTATTACAATTAGATAATATACTGTATAGATATACAGAACCAAAAAATCCTAATTGACTATGGTCTGAATCCCAACAGTTTCGGTGTTATTCCGCTTTTTATGATTTTTTTGTGATTTCATGCCCTTCTCTAAAATTAAAGGTTTTGGATAAAGCCGGTAATACTATTGAAAACTACGTTAAATTTCCAATAAGAAGTGATCAATACTAAACTTGTAAATATTGGTGAAGTAAGAGTTTTAGTAGTCAGGACTTTGAAAAATATTTTTGTTTTAAGTTGAAAAACTTACTGTAGTCATGCTAAACTACTATTTCCAAACCTAGAGACTAGCAAATTTCAGAAAATGTACTCCATTTAATATCCGTTTTAGTTGTGCAATTATTTTTTTAATTACTTGTTTCAAAGAAAAAGAAGAAGAAGAAAAGTAAAAAATGGATGAATGGAAGAAAAAACCATGGTTAAAAGGATTGGTAAGGTGAAAAGATTAATAGTAATAAAAAATAAAAAAACTTAAGGCAATTTTTAATGAATTTATTAAACGTTTTTTAATTTTGATTCGAAAAATCTCTACCGTCTGCAATATTCTTCATTAGAAAAAGTAACTATAGTGTTAACAAGATATCACATAGATAACTAAAAACGTTTCGAATCTTAAAACTCTTTAATTTCGGAGAATAATAATACTATAAGCCTTTAATCAAAGTTGAAGTTATGTCGGTAAATATGTAAACCCTTGCACTATTTTGGTTTCGAACCCAAATTTAAAAAAGTTTAATAAATTCATTCAAAATTTCCTTAAGTTTTTTTTCCACCTTACCAAAGCGTCAGCCACGGTCTTATCCGTTCCTTCAACAATTTATTCAATTTTGAAAAAAGTAATTCAAAAAGCAGTTACATCGCTAAAAAGGATATTAAACGGAGTACGTTTTCTAAAATTTGCTGGTCTCTATGTTTAGAAATAGTAGTTTAGAATTACTGTAGCAAGTTTTTCAATTTTGAAAAAAAAAATTTTTTTCAAGTTCTACGTACTAAACGCTTATTTCACGAAAGTTTACAAGTTTAATATTGATTACAACTTATTGAAAATTTATCGTAGTTTTCATTGGTATCAACGGATTTGTTCAAAACCTTATAATCATGGAGTTATCATCGTTTATTTGAAGCAAGGTCGTAAAATCTTAAAAATTCAGAAAAAATGAAATAACACCGAAACTGCTGAGATACGGACCATAGTTAATTAGGACTTTTTGGTTTCATTTTGAATGTGGTATCTACTGGCAAAGTACCGAGTAGCCGAACACCCTGTATAACAGCTATAATAAAAAGATTTTTGTAGCTATAAAATGTCTGCACTGTGCAATTAATTTTCGATTAAAAAATTTCAAAGTCTTAAACAATAGAAATTATTATGAATCAATAATCGGTCAAAAACGCAGGTTACTATCTCTTGAAATATTTAGATAAGTCGCTAGGCCTGAATAAATTGCCAAAATTGATTTTTTCAAACTTATATTACAAAAAAGGTCAATAATTAAAAAACCATAAATTAATGTGCAACGAGACCACGATAAGTTATGTATTTGCCACAAAATCTATGCCGAAACATATATTGATAATATAAATCAACGGAATCATAATTGCACAATTATCATAAAAGTTTTTAGCTAAGAAATAAAGGTCCATTTGTACGTTTTTTAGTTATAAAATTAATGTCACAAATACAAAATTAGCAAACTAATTTAAGCGTG